AAAAAAGAAAAGAAAAAAGAAAAGAAAAACATGCTCTCCCTTTTCAAGGTAGAGGTTGGCTTACAGACAAATCTTGACAGTATAGCTCTAGCAACTGGAAGCTTCTGGCACTGTACACAATGTAACCACCGCCTCCACTGTGGCTTCCTAGGGGGTGTTGGGAGCCAACAGGCACCAGTTAAGCATGTAGTGTGAAGGTCTTTGAAGACATAAACCACCCAGAATATACATCTACATTTGAAAGTCACAAGGAAAGAACTGACATAGATACAAGGACTTGAAAACTGGGAACCAGGAAAAACTAGGGTATGAATTTGTGGAGAAAGGCATGGCCATGTCTCAAACACTGACTGGATTCAAGGCTCTGGGTGGCTGACAGGGTTGGTGGAAGGCTTTGGAGTGGTAGACCTTCTGGATGAAGGTGTCAGAAAGGTGCAGTCAATATGATAGAGTATAGACAGTCAGAAGGACCTGGAAAGCTCCATGAAGGAGCTGGCATTTGTCTGAGCTCAAAGGAGGAAGTGGATTTGAGCCGATTAAGGTCAGGGGAATTACAGAGGTATCAGGAGATGGGAAAGAGCCAGGGAGGTTGTTGGGGGGTCTAGAAGAATCCACTTATCCTGGAGGATGGAAAGAGCAGAGAAAAGCAAGGGACAAGGTAGAAGGAGGCCATTGGCCATCTGAGATCTTTGAAGAATCCCCTTCATCCTTCAGCAGGATGGTTTTCCTCCACAGAACCTGCCTTGGCTTGTCTTTCCTCCACAATCAAGAGTTTCTCTGCCCAGGGCTCTACCATGAGGCTCTGTGCATCATCGTTATGCCTGTCTCCCTATAAGCTATGACCTTTAGATGAGTCTCCCTGTGTCCTTTAAGACAAGAGCTCTGGGGAATCCTGCTGCACTGCATGGCCTGTGATCTTCGCTGGACTGCTGAGGATAGGGGGAGGCTGCCAGTCTGGTGGCTTTAAGTGAGAAAACAGAAATGAAGGGTACTTGGAGACTCTTGGAAGTATGGGGGAGCCTGACTCTTTCCTCAGTTCATGAGGGTTTGGGGTGGACACTCTGGGTATCAGGGCAAGGTTACCCTCTCTCTGCCCAGGGCCATACATCTGTGGTGTGTGTGTGTGTGTGTGTGTGTGTGTGTGTGTGTGTGTGTGTGTGACCATTCTTACTCATGCCCTCTCTCACACACACAGGAGCACCACCACTCCTCTGTGCCCCTTTCCACCAGTGGACGGTATTGTTGTCTCCCCTTCGGCTTTCCTGACCCCCTCCCTGGTTGCTATGGGTGCTGTGGGGACTCGGATGTGTCCCCTCATATGATCCATGTGATGTTCCCTTCATAAGTGCTCATAAACATCTGCCCCTGCCTGCTCTGTCCAGGGGTATTTTAGTGACGCCTGGAACACGTTTGACTCCCTCATCGTAATCGGCAGCATTATAGACGTGGCCCTCAGCGAAGCCGACGTAAGTATGCACCTGTGTGGCCTGCGTCCTCTCTCTTCTGTCTGCACATTCTCCTCCCTGCCCTGATGTGGTATCACCTGGACAAGTCACAGATCCCAGTCACACTTGATCGGAAACTAGACATTTCCTCACAGAGGCTGTGGGGAAGAACCTTCTAGAATAGAGCCTTAGCCCAAGGCCTCTGCAGACACAAATCACCTTTGCAGGGCTGACTCTCTGGCACCATTGACCCCAGGCACTAGTAGGCAAGGTAAGATAGGGTGTCTCTGGTTGTTCCATTTGCTCCGTCAAAATCCATCCAAAGTGACGTTATCTATGACATGTTTGTCTCGGGGCGATTTTTCGAGTAGTCCAGTGGCATATTGTTAATGCTGTCCTTTTCTTCTTTTTTCCTGTTGTGCTTCCTGTCCTCTGTGGCTTCTGAATGCTTGCCTAACAGCACTATTTCACTGATGCATGGAACACTTTTGATGCCTTAATTGTTGTTGGTAGCGTCGTTGATATTGCTATAACTGAAGTGAATGTAAGTAGCAAACTTTGTGTCCCTTGACGTGATTGTTTTCATTAATTCTAACATAGAAGAGACGAGAGGGGCCGCCCACGAATCTCCATGGGCATAAGAATTGCAGGCACCAACTCATTTTAAAAGATGGAAGTCAGTTTGAAGTCTCCCATCCCTTGTCCATCAGTTCCCCTAAAGAAACAGAGACGCAAGCGTAGAACTTCCACTTTGAAACTAAAACAACTATTTTTAAAAGATCGTATTCAAGTCCTAATGGTGCTCTCACTCCCTAGCTGGGCAACCTTAGCAGGGTTCCTGACTGCTTTGCGTCCCAGTTTTTTCCAGCTATCCATCATAGGATGGAGTTAGTAACGTGTGCCTTGTATACCCACATGGTTCTGTGGTGGCACAGGAGACCCCTATAGCCATGCCTGGCTTTGAGGTCGCTGCCACCACTGTCCTCCTAGCTTTGAGCCTGCTCTGAGTCTAGCTGGTGACGCTGGCCCTTAATCCCCAAAGAGCGTTGCTGGTATGTGTCAGGAGAGAGCCAGCGCCCTCTTTGTGACATGCAGTTTATTCGTGACAAGTGAGCACCACGTACAGAATAGGTGGAGCAAGCCCCCACCACAGGCAGTCAGACGACTCAAACTTCTTCAGAGCTGGGGAAGGGGAACACCAGCTTCCTCAAGTGAAGGTCAGAGGCAGGCAGCAGAGGACCCTGCCCGTTGGCCGGTACCAAGTTCATCAGCAGGTTTTAGTGGGCGTCAGTGTGTGTGTCCCTCAAGGCAGTGAGCGGAGCTTGGGGAAGTACCGTTGTGTGGTGTCGGTTTTTGCTCTGTGTGGCCGGGTCCAGCGCTCCCTCCTGCGCCCCCCAGTGCTCTGCTCTGCCTGGCTGACATGTGCAGGCCCGAGAATTGTCAGGTCCATCCTGGTGCCCAGACAGCCTGTACCAAATGGGAACAGTGATATTCCTTGATGCCCCCATGCAGCCAGGCTGACTTTAGTCCATATGGATGGTTGGACAGCCACCAACCTGGCAGTTTCAGCCCTACCTCAAACTTAACTTATTGGACTCAGGCTTCAGTTTCCTCACTTAGAGGTCCAGCAGAGTGAGTATATCTGCTGGGAATAAAATTGTGTAAATCTATTGTGAAAATACTTATTAAAACAGTGAGTTATGAAGACCCACTATTATTCATGCAGTTTTCCTGTGTACTGTGTAAAATGGACTATAAGACATTACCATGGCCACCAGAATATGATGTAAGCCCCCTCACACCAAGATCCATGATATGCTGTGTCAAGATACTGAGATGACATTTCACTAGGCCTGGCCTGAGTACACACATCCCCCATCCTCCTTAAGCTGAGACTTCTATAAATTCAACTTTACAAGACATATGCTATAGGCAGCTATATAAAATTGCCATTCATGATATGTAAATGGCATTTGGGTGTAAAATAATCTGGTGTTACTGCAAGAACAAGAGGACCCTACCTTGGCTGTCATGTGGCATGACATCTGACTGCTTTACTCATCTCCAGGCATTTGAAGTATCTATGACGTATGTCAAGGAACTTCCCCTGGGTCAGAAGCAACCTATAACAGATGTTAACATACCATAAGTTGTTTTAGCAGACTTTTCAGGTGCTATGAACCAGAGGTTATAAGCTTTCATTTTCTGGGTACCAGGATGTAGCTGAGGCTTGTTTATCAGCTAGACACCCAGCTTTCTCATGCCGCCTACCTGCTGGCTAGCTAGTATGACTTGGCACACTCGGAGGCACACCTGCTTCATGGGCTGTGAGCTGGCCCTGCTCCTCAACTCTGGCTTGGCCTTGCCTGTCAGTGTCTCAGGATGGTCCTGCTTCTCTGTGGATGGGGAAGGTCTATGCTTGAGTGTCTAGTTAGCAGTTTAAGTCAGATGTCTGTGCAAGGCCTCTTTCATGATATCCAGCTTTTGTTGAAGACTCACACTGGGGAATATTTCCAGTTCCCAACCATGACCTTTCCCTGGCTAGCTGTGTTCTGAAACCAAACACTCCTTAGCCTTGGCCTTGGCCGTTTCCCACCGGGCTTAACTACAGAGATCTGTGTTTGTCCACTGTCCCTAGATGCAAAGGTTATGCTCCCTGATCATTTATTCCATCTTCAGCACCAGTTTTACTGGGCATCTATCGCTTGTAGGCCTGGAGCTAGACTCTGGGAATAATCAACAATTTTAAAAAACAAAAAGACAGAACATTCTTATTCTCTGATGTTACAAATATTTCAGGATGGGAATATTTATTCCTACACGCTCCCTCTACACACACACACAGTTCCCCAGGAGAGCAACGCATGTCACATCCCCGGTGGCCTTGAATCCTGATGTCCAGCATCAACTGAGCATGAGTACCCACGGTCCATTGTTGGCTGGTTTCAGTTGCCATCATCATCATCATCATCATCATCATCATCATCATCATCATCATGTTTTGTGATGTTTAACCTGCCATGCTCTCTCCCCCAGACTCTGTTGATCTTCTTTTTCTGTTGCCTAATTGATTTTTCATGTTGGTTTTATTTTTAGAAAATTGTAGCGGCAAGTATATATAATCATATATACGGTGAAGTCGTTAAGCAAAAGTGCTCCTAGAGACTGTATACTTGGTTTCTGCTTTCCACCTCTGGTGTTTCACTGAGTTCCACAGGACTTGCTAAGGATCATCCGTGGCCATCTAAACTGTTATTTCTCCCATGTGTCCTTGTCCCTGACCAGGACCTGGGCGCAGGCTTGCTTGGTCAGTCACACTGGCTCTTTGCCTTGCTAACACAGCCTTCCAGAATGAATGATCTGGCCTGGAAAATGAGAACTCTAGCTTGTCTGTAGTCTCTGCAACAACAACAACAACAACAACAAAAAAAAAAAAATGTCGATGGCCCTTTGCATTGTCCTGGTTGCATGCTCACCTGGCCCTTGCCATCTCTCTGTCCTCTCCATGCTCTCCACCCTGTTTGTCCATGGTGTGATGGCTTTCCTGGCCCTGTCCCCCATCAGTTTTGGTTGTCCTAACACCACGAGCTGCTGAAATGGTGGGTGACCCCTGGTAGCCTTACTCTGCTTTCTCTTTGGTGCCCGTTTATTCCTTGAGTTCTGAAATGATCAGGCAACAACTTTTCTGGCCCAGGGATGGCTGTTGCTGACATTCAGTCTTTCTCCATCCCATTGTTGCCCGGGAGAGAGTGGTCTTGTTTAGACACTGCGGCTGCTTTGTGTTTAAAGTCTACAGGAGCTCACTCTCAGATCCTACGAGTTGTTGCTGCCTTGTGAAGTGCCCGGCTTAGACACTGTCTCCACCATTTCATTCAGCTCGTTGTCAGGATGAGGTGTAACAGTTCAGCTCTCAGCTCCACGTGGTAGCTGGGGACCAGGCTGAGGAACATGTGTGCGTGACCTTGCAGTAGCAGAAGCTACTGAAGCTGCCTGTTCCAGATCTTTAAGAGACAATGAAATTCTATTGAACATGGATCACCCGGGTCCTTGAGGCCATTCTTGAAAAGAAAGGCAGGACTTGCCTCTGCTCCAGGTCCTCCAGTGTTATCCATGGGCGATCTAAAAAGTTGAGCACAGTGCAGGTCACTGATCTCCTTCACCAATCCTCTACCTTTCCATTCCCGATGCTCCTCTATCCGTCAGAGAGAAGATAGAGGTGGAGTTTAATCCCCTTGCATCCAAATTCTGATCCCCGATCACCTCCCAAAGGCTCTAGGCAGCTGTAACAGCCCAAGTGGGCTTTTCTAATGGCCCGACTCTCTGTGACTACTCTGCTGCTGTGGGCTGCCTCTTGAATACTTGGCCCAACATTGCTGTGGGCTAAGGACCGAAATTCTCCACTCTGAGACCATACTAGAATAACTTGGTGGCTTTCAAAATTCCGGAAGTGTAAAAGGACCCAGATCAGTTTGGAAGATCACTTGGGTGGCATGTGGGCATTAGTGGCTTTCATGGAGCAGCCCAGGACCAGAGCAGCTGCCCCTCTGCAGGTGGAGCAAAGCCATCCTAGGGGCCTTCCCGTTTGGAAGAGATTTGGTCAACCTGCATGGTCCCTGTCGATGTCAGATACGTCCTCCCCTACCGCAGTCCCTCCTGCCCTGCGGTGTGTGGTGGCAGGGGCGACGAGGTCTCAGGCCACTTGGGGGGGGGGGTGCATGCAGCCTGATGTGCTGTGTTCTTTCGTTCCTGTGTTGTGTGGTCCACCGCTTTGTCACCTGACAGATGCTGTCTCCTCTCCTCCCCCTTAAAAAGCAACAACAACAACAACAACAAAGACCATTTGACTAGATGTTGTGGTCCACACCTGTAATCCCAGTATGTAGGAGTGGAAGCAGCTACGTAGCGAGTTTGAATTTAAACTTAATGATTGATGATTGCCATCCTTCAGGTACACTTTAAAAAGATACACATTTCAAAAGTCAATTTAGTCAACTTTGCAGACCCCACATAGGTAACAGCTGTCGAGGGCTCTCTCTGCCCTCTCTAGTCCTCTGAGCACAGACCAATGGAGGTGTGCACACACCACAGCTACACAGACTCACATGTGCACAGCCTAGCTGCCTGGGCAAGAGTGAAGCCTCCTCTCCACAGCCCCTAGGGGAGGGCAATGTGGAGACAAGAGTGCTGGGAAACTAATGCCTGTGAACGTTAAAGCCTTAAATTGAAAAAACAACACTAACCAAAACAACCCATGATCTAAGCTAGGCATAGTGGCTCACACCTGTCACCCCAGAACTTGGGGGGTAGAAACGGGGAGTCCGAGTTTGAGGCCAACTCAAGCTGCACAGTGAGAGCCTGCTCCCTGTCTAGTGAACGACCAGCCGACCAACCACAGAACCATCCCTTTAAGGCTCTGTGGTGACTTCCAGGGTGAGGTGATAAAGGAACTAACAGAATTGATGGACCCTGAGTTCCGACATGCCAACAGCAGAGCTCCTGCTCTGAGCATCCATCCAGGTGGCCTAGAGCCCTGTTCCTGGGTCCAGAGCAACTGCCCAATTACAGGCATCCTCAGATGTAGTTTACTAAGGTCCATAGAATTCTTCTCTTCGGGCTCAGGAATCAGCATAAGAATCAAGCCTTTCTTTCCCCATGTCCCCAGGGGAGGAAGCATCTAGCGTCTAGGCTACCCCTCTGCCTCCCATGCATAGTTTTACTGTGTAGAAGTAAGCCAGCCTCAGGGCGGACCCCCGCTGCCTCAGCGGAGTGGAGTGGCTGAGAGACAAGAGGCTGCCCTTCCTCGTTCTTGCTTTTATTATTTAAAGACGCTTCCTGGTAGGGAAGACTTGCCTCCAGCATGTTTGCAGTTTCTTAAGCAGTTCCCTGCAGGCACTGTTACTATGGTGAGCATTGAGCGCAGTGAAGAAGGGCTCAGTCCTCCTGGAGCTGAGAAACAAATGAGCACCGTTCACTGGTGGACTCCTAGGTCCTGGGCACCAGGCACACAGTTGGACCTGGCTGAGGCAGAGATGCTGGGGCTCAGGCAAGCTAGCCCATGACGTTCTTCCAGAGTGCTTGCCCGACTGGGGCCAGGCTGAACTTCAAACCAAGCAGAGCTGGTGGCCGGAGAGAGGCCTGCCTCCGTCCGTCACTGACCAGGCCTTCCAGCTCTTCAGCGGAGACATTGATCCAGTGGAGCACATGTAATCCTTAAGTGTAGGGACCACAGGCAGAGCCACTGTTTCCCCCATGGCTGGGAAGCCTGCTACAGGGGGTCAGCTCCTATGACTGAGCCAGAGAAGCAGAGGTTTCTCTGGTCCTGTCTTTAGAGAGCACTAAGGTATGTACCACAGTCTTCGACCAGTCAGTCACCTGATACATCCCACCCCCGGGAAGAAGCTAGACTAGAATAGTCTGTCTGTGTTCCTCTCAGTGGCTGTCCCCACCCCCGGTCCAGTTCTGGAATGAGGCCCTGGTGTTTTCTCAGGAAGGAGCAGCTGTGTTGACCAAAGACATTAACTACCCACTGGTAAAAGGGGGGAAAGTCTCCTGAGCCCTTGCTTCCGTCCACCCTCATTAATACATCTCAATCTTTGATTTCTTAAAGCCAACTGAAAGTGAAAGTGTCCCTCTCCCAACTGCTACACCTGGGGTAAGATCAGTGACTGGTCCCCAGGGGCTGGGCCGTCCGTCCGTCTCCTTGAGTTTCTCTGACCATGTCGAGTTTTCCACTGGTGTTCTGTGTTCTCCATGACCGTCCCTTCCAGAGCGGTGTCTGCAGCGGTCTGCATCCATCATCAGTGCCCAGTACTCTCCTCTAACACAGTAGAACACATGGACATGCATGTGCTGTGTGGATGCAGTTCTCTCCCCTCCCCCAAGCCCTGCGTTCTTAGCATGTGACTTTTCCTTTCTTCATATCATGCTTTTTGAGGTGAAAAGGCCTTAGAAACACATCTCCAAGTTCTTACCTCTGTCACCCTCGCGTCTGTTGCTGTTTTTCTGAACGTGTTGCATGTTCTCCTTCCCACTGGGTTTTGACCTCTCCATGATAACCCCTCAGAACTCTGAAGAGAGCAATAGAATCTCCATCACCTTTTTCCGTCTTTTCCGAGTGATGCGCTTGGTGAAGCTTCTCAGCAGGGGGGAAGGCATCCGGACTCTGCTGTGGACTTTCATCAAGTCCTTTCAGGTAAGAGACATGCCCACCAGGACTTCCCTTTCTGTCCTTCAGGGCGTATGTAAGTCAGGGATTGTCATCTGTCCTGGAAGACCCCCAACTCCCTTGAGTGACCACTGTATCAGTAGTGATTATGGGATGCTGGAGGGATGCCACCCAGCACACTACTTTTGGTAAACCAACTAGGAAATGAGAGGCAGAAATAAGATCCTGAAACTCATGATATCAACAACATTGTCCAGATGGAAAGAAATGTAAGTCTTGGAACTTTTGGTTGCCCAGAATGTCCAGCAATCGTGGTGTCAGAGAAGGATGGTCGCAGCACATCCCCCGAAGCCTTAGTTACTGTTACCGTGCCGTGATAAGACATCATGACCAAGGCAACTCATAGAATAAAGCATTTCATTGGAGCCTGTTTGCAGTTTCAGAGGGCAAGTCCACCATCAGCATGGCGGCAGGCAGGCAGCCAGGCACGGGTGCTGGAGAAATAGCTGAGAGCTCACATCTTATCTGCAAGTTATAGGCAGAGAGAGAGACAGAGACAGAGACAGAGAGACAGACAGACAGGAAGACTAGGCCAGGCCTAGGCTTTTGAAACCTCAAAGCCCACCCCAGGGACACACCTTTTCCAACAAGGCCACACCTCCTAATCCTCCCCAAACAGTTCCACTACCTGGGGAATCAAGCACTGAAACACAAGTCTGTGTGGACCATTCCCATTCAAATCACCACATAGCCTCTTCCTAAGATGAATGCTCCGCTTACACCGGGTTGCTGGGTACTTGATAGAATTAGAGTTCAGTTCGTGTAGGTATCCACCAGGTCTTATTTGATGCCTGTGATTCTTTTCATGGGTTCTAGTCCATTCTCGAGCAGAATCAGCTTCTCCTGTACCTTCTGGTATCCTGCTAGAGACAGTCCAGTCTTCTAGGCAGAGCCGGTTGAGGGTGAGGAATAGATGCAGATTTGTGATTAGAAAGTGCAGCCGTGTAGGGAATGCGTGAGATGCACAGACAGTGCAGGGTGAGCCATGCATGCACCTTCCCTTCTTCATAAGTTAAATGTTCATGTGAACCAATGGAGTTATATAAAGAACAAGTTCAAGTTTGCCTCTCACCACCCCGAGATAACCAGTAAAATTCAAGTAATATTATTAATTCTTAATTAATTTTACAGTGAGTAGGGAGAAGGGAAAGAAATGGTATGTAGGGAAAGGAGAAGACAAAAGCTCTCAGAAAGGAAATCACAGTCCTGCTGAGAAGAATGGTGACTGAGCAAAGAAGTGGGGGGCGTGGCTGGGAGAGAGAAGCAGGGCAGGCACCCGAGGCAGGAGAACCTGGGTGCAGCCAAGCCCTGCAGTCCTCCACGGTCAGGTGTGTCAAGTTCCAGAGATGGGCTACTAAAATAATGAAATGCATTCATGTAAAACCATCCTGTTTCTTTGGGCGGGGTGGTGGTGGTGGGTTTTTTTTTCGAGACAGGGTTTCTCTGTGTAGTTTTGATGCCTGTCCTGGATCTCCCTCTGTAGACCAGGCTGGCCTCAAACTCACAGAGATCCGCCTGGCTCTGCCTCTGGAGTGCTGGGATTAAAGACATGCGCCACCACCGCCCAGGCATGATCCTGTTTCTTGAAGAAATTATTAAACTTAAAAAAAAAAAAATAGTAGATAAAGAAGCCACGTGACAGAGTGGTGAGTTGCCAGCATAGTCCTCAGACATTTGGATGTCTAGGAAGAAAGCGCAAAGAGCTTTTGTGGGGACACTAGCCCTGTGGGACACCAGTAAGCAGTCCACCTGTTGACATGTTGCTGTGGCATTGGGCTAGGCTGCAAGTCACAGAGCCTCAAACCTTAGGTGACCTGTCAGCTTTTTGAGTCACTTCCTTAGACAGGTGAGAAAGGGCGACTCTAATCACATGTGCTTGGAATTAAGTCCAGCAGCCAGGCAGCCCTGGAGGCATCCCGTACTCAAAGGTGCATTTGTCTTATGTGGTGATGGAGAAACGCCATCAAAAAACATGGGTGAAAAGACTCACGTCTGGCTAGACGCTTGTACCTGTTGGGGTGATCTTAAATAAAAGGAGCCTGTGCTTGTGACCACTCAGCCAGCTTCCTTTTGTCCTGGGCCTGACCCTTGACTTTGTAGCTGTTTACAGAGGAACACCTGGTTCAGTTAAAAGCTTTAAAGAGAGCCTCGAATGCACCAGGATGCACCCAAGTCACCGGAAGGAAAGAAAGCTCAGCAGTCCCCCTGGGATTAATTTGACCAAGAGGGACCCCATGTTTGAAGTCTCCCCATTTCTCCCTGTCTTCAGTCTGTCTGTAGTTTGTGGTTGCTGGCTTGTCTGTAGTCTATCGGTTGTATATAACGGATCTCTCCCCATGTCTTGTCTTAAGACTGACTGATGTCTGCCTGTCCCTAAGACTTTGCTCTGTATTGAGCACCATAGAAAGCATCACATGCAGAAGAAATGAGGGATACTTTGCAGAAATCTTTAACAGATTTTTACAAGAGATTGAATTATTTGCACCAGACCCCAAAAGCACTCAATACTGCAAAGATACCATCAAGTTTTATCGTATGCTGATTTCAATGTTTATGGCAGGTATTGGTTGTATAAGGTTGTTTTCAACCTATTTTCTGTTTTCAGTATTTATTACTATAACACCACACACACACACACACACACACACACACACTGCTTTTTGGATCAGAGGCATAGACGAATGTATAACTTATAGTTATGCATTGTCTTAGGTTGTAAAAGCTGATTACACAGGAAATCCTAGGGAGTAAGGTTGGTTGATACATTGTTATCTTAAAGACAAGTTAAACAAACAGGCTGAGTACACAGCAGGATCAAGGACCAAGTGACCTCAAGGTGTATCAACTGTGAGGTCTAGCAGAACTTGCAGTCTCTTTGAATAAAATGTATCACCCGCGGTGCATTTTAAAGAGTTTTGCGTTCTGAAATGGCTTTTGACCCTCTGACTCGGTAATTCTACCCCTAAGCTCCTAGTCTAAGGAAACCGGGAATCAAGGTGATTTTGCATAAAGATGTTTCTTGGCTGCACTACAACTACACCCCAGCCCCCACCCCAGATACAGAGGAAATGGAGGGAAGCAATTGGGGCATCTGGTATTTTGGAATGATTTGGTCAGTTAGAGTTTCATGAAGGATGCAGGGTCCACTTCAAACTCACCGGGATCTATGTGTCTGTATGGAAGTGTTTAGGGTTAGCACAGGGTAATGCTGAGCTTGGAAAGCTCCCCTGCCTGCCCACACTTTGTAACTGGAGGTGTGCAGGCGTGTGGATCTCCGGGACTGAAGCACTTGTGCCGGGCTGGGCCTCATGTGGGAAGAGCAGGCACAAAGGCAGGTGTCCGACTCCCAGCAACCCCAGTTCTTTGTCTCTTGCAGGCACTCCCATATGTCGCCCTCCTCATTGCCATGCTCTTCTTCATCTATGCAGTCATTGGCATGCAGGTAAGTGGCAGCTGCTTTTCCCTCACAGAACCTTTTCCAAGGTGGCCCCAGGTCTGCACTTAGGCCAGGTAAAGTAGAAGGATAAGGTCTTGATGTTTCCAGCCAAATGCCTTGGCTACTGAGGAGATAAGGAGAGAGGACGTTATGGCCCCTTGGGTGGTATTGAACTCCCAAGATAGAGCTGGTGCCAGAGGAAACCAGACCCAGAAGGGTGCAGAGTTCAAGATGCAGCAGGAGACTGTTTTGTTAGCCCTCCTTCCTGCCGACACTTGCACTCATGTTTTAGGAGAATGAGCTAGATGGGAAGACCTGTGGTTGATCTGAGCGGCAGAATGCCATAGGCCCCCGGTGGAAAAGGAGATGCCCCCGTCATCAGTGTGGAGAGCCTGAGCTCTGTACTGATGATACTCTGATGGTGTTCAGTCCAAACACCTGCTGGCACCCTGAAGAATTATGCCTTATCACACTGGCATTCTCACACTGGACTTCCAGATGCTATGGTTAGAACTAAGTCTGGGCAGCACACTTTTCCAGAGAGGCATGGACCCAGGCTCTTAGACTAGAGAGACTGAAGCATATGCTCCAGGCTGGGAAAGGTTTGGGGCCCTCACTGACAGCTGGACCCTAACACCCTGGGGTAGCTGGAGGGCAATGAACAGCTCTGGGTACCAGGAGTCAGAGGAAAATGACCTACACTGATAGAACGTTGTTGTTCTGCCTAGAGAGGGGCGCATGAGAGAGAGAGGTGAGGTAATTCCAGCACAGGGAGATGTTGTATGTATATATTAATTTATTTGTCCTGAAGGAAGTACTTGTAGGAATTTTATGGGGAGTTATAAGACAAGAGTCATCATACCAGAGCCTTTGTAATTGAATAGCACGTGATGATGCTGTGTGCCTAGAAGAGTCTTCAATGTTACGTGTCCTCGTGAAGAGAGGTAGCTCAGGGCTCTGCGAACTTCATTGCACACCCAGCTCCACATTCTCATAGCAGGCATTTGCCGGGACCCAAGACCTTCTGAAAGGTCGGTTTGCTCCATAATTCCAGTAGGAAAGCTTTGCTGGGGAGGCAAAGCCCTCAAGGTCCCGCCCCTTTGTCTCCCGCAGTCGTTCCTCTCTCTTTCCCACTCATCCTCACTCCTCAGGACCTCAGCTCCTTCCAGGTGACGCTCCCTCTGTCTGGAGAACTCTGGCCTTTGTCACCTAACCGCTGCTGCTTCTCCTTCCGTCTAGCTATGTGCTACTCCCTCTGGAGGCCTTCCTGGTCCCATTTCCCTGGCAGTGGGTAGATGGGCCTCTTCGCCGGTCTCTGTGGGGTCGGATCATCCCGGGACTCACTGTGTCTGCTTGCCACTCTTGATCACCCGGGTAGTCTCCTCAGGGCAGAGCCTCCTGTGGGGTGAGAATGGGCCTCTCTGAGACACTGCATTCCGGATGTTCAACCTAGTGCCCGGCACATGCTGTGCCCAGCAGATCTGTGCAGGGTGCAGAAAGTGCCAGGTGTCCTAAGGAAGCCTGAGTCCTAAGAAAGTGCTGAGTTAGTTCCAAAATCCCAGGAGTCTTTCTCTATGACTGTGTTAGCATTTCACGACCATACTGAAATATCGGAGATAATTAACTTACAAAGAGAAAATGTTTATTATGGCCTGCAGTTTTGGCGATCTGATCCATGATCACCTAGCCTCATCGCTTTGTCCTATGACAAGGCGGGACACCATCGTAGAAATGCATCATGGATAAATACAACTGCTTCGAGAGGTTGGATGTGGGCTTCCCACATTCCCCTGTGAAGACACACCCCCCAGTGGCCTAAGGACTTCCCACAGGCCCACCTCTTAAAGTTCTACCTCTCAACAATGCTACCCTTAGGGTCTAAGCCTCTAACCACATGAACCTTGGGAGAAGGTTAACGATCCACATTGTAATAATGATAGAAATCTGATTTTTCACCCTTCTTAACTGCCTCATCTAGATGTTTGGGAAAGTTGCCATGAGAGATAACAACCAGATCAATAGGAACAACAACTTCCAGACGTTTCCACAGGCAGTGCTGCTGCTCTTCAGGTGACTGGGTCCTTGAGGGTGGTATGCCTAGAATTGTGAATGACGGGGGTTATGCATGCTTCTGGTTATCTCTTGGTAGACTCTTGCTTTGTTATTGTTATCTTTCTATATTTGTTAGTTACTTTGTTTGTTTTGAAATAGGTCTCAGTCTATAGACCAGGCTGGCCTCAAACTCATGACAATCCCCCGGCCTCAGCCTGTCAAAATGCTGGGATTGTATGTTCTACTATGGTCAGATGTTTTATATCTTTTAAAATATTATTACTTCATATATATGTATGACTGTGATATATGTTCGTGGGTAGACATGCCACTGTGTGCGTGTGGAGGTCAGAGGACAACTATGTGGAGTCAGTCCTCTCCTTTAATCTTTACCTGGGTTCTGGGGATTGAACCCGGGTCATCAGGCTAGCACAGCAAACACCTTTTCCCAACTGACCTCTCTCCCAGGCCCCAATTTTGTCTTCTTAAACAGAACTGGCATTTCAGTCACAGAGGAACTGACTGCATTGTTAAAATGGCTGGAGGTCATTCAGATTCACATTTAGTGTAGCTAACACTTAGACCACCAGGAAAAACAACAAAAAACATTGTAGGATAGAGACCTATGCGTGAAGAGTGCACCAGAACCCAGCCAGGAGAACGGGAACACAGCACAAACATGGGAACATTCTGCAAAGCCAACTAGGAGCAACCTAAGATGTACAACCTCACATGTTATGGGATTGTTTTTAACCCCAGCTAATAATCTTTGCAAACAATCTTCCTCACACTGAGAGAACTCTCTAGAAACAAGGAAGCAATGTCCAATGACTCTAGTAACTATAACAACTCATTTGTAATTTAGGTGGTTTCCAACTCTTCCCTTTCAACAAAAACAGTCAGGACTAATCATTAAATAATTGTAATAGGGATGTTTGAAGAAGAAACAGGAGAAAAATGAACATCCATTTATATAAAGAATTGCATCAGACACTTTTATAAATCATATTATACCAGGGCCTCTAGTTACTAAGTTGTGTCTGAAAGCAGGCTTCCAGACTGTCCTGAATCCAAACGGCATTGCTACAGTTACATACATTTTACACAAGTTAAGAACTGTCTTCCTAAATGTTTAACTCATCATCTCCTTGACCCTTCCCCAATTAAAGCCCTTTTTCTTAAACAGGTGTGCCACCGGGGAAGCCTGGCAGGAGATCATGCTTGCCTGCCTCCCTGGGAAGCTGTGTGACCCGGACTCAGATTACAACCCGGGAGAGGAATACACTTGTGGGAGCAACTTTGCCATTGTGTATTTCATCAGCTTTTACATGCTCTGCGCGTTCCTGGTAAGCCGTCTCCGGGAGCCCTCTTTTCCATTTACAGAACTGCTATAGCATTTGGGGTTCAGACCAGTAACGCTGCCCTGGCATAATGCTTTGAAACAGTTGGCACGCTCTGGACCCCACCAGGCAGGAGGCAAGTCTTGCTTAATCTGGCACGTGTCACAGCCATCTGGGTTGGGTTGGGCACTCACTGATGGGCTGGGGGTAATTTCCAGCCAACCTTGTTACTGAGGGCTGCTGTTTCCTTTCTAAAATTTCAAAGGCACTGCACATGGCTTTAAGTGCTTTCAAAGTGTGAGCTGTCTCTGGTTACAATTAAATTATAAGATTACAGTGTGCCTCGGGGTGCCAGCTAATGCAGCAGCCACCCACCCCCTCCTGAGTGTGTGCCAAGCCATCTGGTCAGATGTTGCCTTTTCCTACAGTAAACGAGTATTGTGGCCTGCCTCTGCAAACGTGGGTTCCAGTGTTCCTGTAGTTAGGAGGCAGACGCAGTGGAAGAGATCTCTCTGCTGCCACTGAAATACCCTCTCGGTGGACTTTTCCAGATCATCAACCTCTTCGTGGCTGTTATCATGGACAATTTTGACTACCTGACCCGGGACTGGTCTATTCTGGGGCCCCACCACTTGGATGAATTCAAAAGGATATGGTCAGAATATGACCCCGAAGCAAAGTACGTTGCAAAGCATCCTCTGGGAACGTCAGGGGTGGTTTCTGTGGAAGGGCAGGGCGGAAGTGGTGGACTGGAAGCCCGTGCGGGTCACGCTGCCTAGGACCTCAGCTGTGCTCTGCTTCCAGGGGAAGGATAAAACACCTTGATGTGGTCACTCTGCTCCGACGAATCCAGCCTCCTCTGGGGTTCGGGAAGTTATGTCCACACCGAGTAGCGTGTAAGGTGAGTGTCACACCTCCAAACCTGACAGCCTGTCGGCTGCTTCGTTCCTCACACACAAACACCAAGTGACATTTAGCCAGGCCCTCCGTAAGATGGACATGTGGAGAGAATAATGAATGTTTTCTGCATTGGAGGTCCTCTCGAGTTTAAAACACTTAGAATCTGCCAGGAACAAGAGAAAGAGGAAGGGAACGCTTTGTCACCGGGTAGCTGTCGGAGGGAATGGTATTTAGGTCAGGGGTGAGTGGCTGTGAATGTAGCTCTGCGACAGTGCTTATCTAGCACGTGGAGGGTCCTGGGTTTGAGTCCCAGCACCACCAAACCAACATAAAAGCCAGGAGAGCCATAGGAGTAAGTCAGAGGCAGGAGGACTTCACGGAAGGGAGTCCAGAGTCCAGACCGGAGCAGGAGTCTCCGATTGGCCGGCAACAAGCCATCGGTAACAACCACTGACTGGAACACAGGAAGAAGTGACAGAGGGGCCCATGCGTCTGCTGAACCTGATTGAATATTCACCACCGAATCCTGTGGAGGATGATGAAACCGGGGAAGAAACGTGAATCTCAGGTCCCCATGGCAGAGTTGATGGTGTTGGCATGAGGAGACAGACTAATCGGGGCGGCCGGGATGAGGGCAGTGGGCCATGAGAATGAGGGGATGAGGGCAGTGGTCGTGAGGAAAGAGTGGGCAGCATAGACCTGCTGAGGAGGTACAGTGGAGGATACCTTGCAGACAGATGAGCAGAGAGTAATGAGGAAAGAACTAATTTAGCCCTTAGCTTGGCAGTTGTAGACATCAGACCTTAGCTTGGTGGTGGCAGACATTGAACCCTAGCTGGGCAGTGGTAGGCATGGTGACATGTTGCATGCGGCCTCTCTGCTGTTGAGTTCTATAGAGCCCTTTCCTGGGCTGTGGAGCTGAGGTGTCCCTGGGATGAGCTCAGGTCTCCTGGCCTGCCTCTGTCATCCCCCCCACCCCCCGCCCCACTGGTCATGTGGAGCCCCTAGTTCGTGTTGGCCTTTCTCCCACACAGCCCACAGAAACTGTTTCATGTAGCAACAGGAATACAAGGTTTACCTGTTTACCCTCCCTCTCCTTGAGGAAGTCCACCCGGCCCAGAAAGTAGCACAGAACCCAGTTGACGGAGTTTATCTTTGTTTGGATCCCACGTTCCTCTACCAGGAACATCCTTAAGATACAACGTCATTCATTTTGATGACTTGGGTATTGGTCAGGAAAAGTGAATGGAGGTCCCAGTCAGCCTGGCTGCACTGATTTGGACATAGGAGAGGTTGATAGTAGAACATGGAATTTAGGTGGGTTCTTCAGTGGGGTGGAAAAAACCCATTTACACCTTTCTTTTTCAATAAACTGTTGGCCAGAAATAAAAATACATATATTATTTAATTTTGTTTTGTTTTTGAGATGGGGGTCTCACTGTGTGGCACTGGCTAACCTGGAAGTCCCTATATAGACCACGCCAACCTCCAGCTCAGAGATCTGCCTGACTCTGCCTCCCAAGCACTAGGATATAGGTATATGCCACCACACCCAACTAGAAAATTTGAAAATATTAACATCGTTTAACACTTAGCATGTGTCAGGCATAAAATGTTTGTGTCCATGATCTACTTTAATCCTCACAAGGCCTGTCAGCCTGGCCTGCGGTCTGAATTAGAAGGAGGTGACTGGAACCCAAAGAGCGTGTCCTTTACCTCCCAAGTTCTCCTGCGGCTTTCCTTAGTGCTGGTGTTAGAGGTTTCTGGAGGGGAGTGAGAAGTGGGAAGTGTTGATCTGTTCTGAAAGACCAAGCCCTCAGAGGAGCCATGGAGACCTAGCGGAGATACCACATGATGTTCTATTTCTAGAAACTTCCTAAAAGAACACATTTTCTGGGGTGTGAACAGTAGTGAGCTCTACTAGCGGAAAGTCCAAGACTCGGGCCCTGTGCCTGGCCTGTGTATCTACTGCGTCATTTACTTAGCATAAAACCCTTAAGGATGGACCTAGAGGGGAGACCTGGCCCTAAGACACAGAGAGCGAGGAATGAGACAAGAAGAATGCGTGGACAATGATGTTCAATGGTTTAATATCAAATAGCATCTGGTTGTCAGCATTTATATTTCATTAATGAAATTTGCTCTTTGTTATCCCAGGTTCCCCACAGATAGGAAGTTGTATTCATTAGCATTCTCCATAGAAATAGGGACTAATAGGATGGCTGTGGCCACATATATGATGTGTATGTCTTTGTGTGTGTCCAGTGTATAGATGTACATAGATAGATAGATAGATAGATAGATAGATAGATAGATAGATAGATAGATAGATGGATGGATATACATGCATACACATGAAGAGGTTTATTAAGCAGTATGGGCACATGTGATTTTGAGGAGTTCTACAGTCTCTCATCTTCTAATGGGGGACTCAGGAGGCCAGAGAACCAGGGGGACCAGTGAGATGTGTCTCAGTCCACAGAAGACTGATGTTCTACCTCAGGTAGGCGAAGAGGAAATTCAGTCTCTGCACATTTTTGTGCTGTGATTGAATGATGGCTACCCACTTTTACAGGCATCTGCTTTACTCAGCCCATCAATTCAAAGGCTAATCTCTCCCAGAGCACCCTCACAGACATACCTAGAAATGATATTTATTTAACCCACGTTCTGGGCAGCCCATAACTAGTTATGTTGACACCTATAACTAACCATCTCCGAGACGCTCCCAAATGGCTGTGGGTTGAAGTGGATGTTGACAGAGCACGAAAGAGGGATAAACAAAGAAGGAGCATCAGAAGGGGACATGGCTGTCACAGGACACTCACATTCTCCTGAGGTGCTCTTTTTCATCCGCAGAGATTAGTTGCCATGAACATGCCTCTCAACAGTGACGGGACAGTCATGTTCAACGCCACCCTGTTTGCTTTGGTCCGCACGGCTCTCAAGATCAAGACCGAAGGTGAGCACTCCCTGGAAGCAGGAAGCAGGACAGGTAGCAGGAGAGGGAGGAGATGTTACCCCTCCCCCACACAAACACACTTTGGTTCTCCCTTCTGGACTTCCTCTTAATGAATGGGATGCCTCAGGAAAGAGTGATGGATACAGGAAGACTCTCTCTGTCTGGCCAGCTGAATACCCCATCCCTCTGTTTTTCCTTTATTCTTTGCTTTGTTCCGTAATATCTGGAGTTGACTCATCACATGCTTACTATACTGAAGGAGAAACAGGCAAGGTGTTGGGGCATAGAGAGAAACCACAGATGATTCACTCCAGCTGTCCTCCACCAACACCATCAGCGAGGCAACTCCAAGCAGTATCTTCTTTGTCCATGAAAAGGAACCACATGCAGCGGGCCAGGGGAAGTTCTAAGCAGGTGGGGTGGGAGGTGCAGAACCTACTGTGTGCACACACACACCACATGCACCACATGTACCACGTGGTTAGTGTGTGGGATGTGCTAGCAGGTCCGCATCTCAGCTGGACTCCTTTTCATGCCGCACTCAGCCCTGCTCAAACCTGGCTTGGCAGGCAGCGGAAATGTGCCTCTGGGGTTAGCTCAGAGGCTGCATTATAGATGGCATGGGGAGCCAGCCGATTGCTGCACAGGCTGGGGAGTGAGCCAGAGGTGAGAAGCAGAAGGGAGGTAAGAGAAGACAGTAGGCATGTATCTAGTTAGAGGCCGGGGGTTCTCCACAGCCCTGGAGATCTACCCGGCAAAGCCAGCCTCCCCGGGCCTGACATGTGCCTCTTATGCCACAAACACACATCGTTAAGGGTCCCAGAATGGAGGCTGGCCCCACATGTATCACTAGGAAAGACATATAGGGAGAAGTCAAGGTTAGGAGGTGAGGATGAGTAGCTACAGTAAGGCCTGAGAAGTCTTTTTTTGGGTGAAGTTTAGTCTGGATCTGCAAGAATAAAGGCAGGATTGGGGTACGCTGGAGGAGGGGGAGGGGGAGGAGGAGGAGCAAGAGAAGGAAAGGGGGAGGAGGGAGATGGAGAAGAGCAGAAGAGGAGATGGGGAGATACAGAAGAAAGAAGAGGGGAAGAGAAAGAAAGGGGGAGGAGGAGGAGGAGGAGGCGGCCGAAGCAGAGGCAGTTGCCCCTGGTCTGGGAGCCGAGGGAGGAGCACCGGTCCTGTCTGGGGCCGGGCGCTATGGCAGAAGAGGCTAGTTCTTGGATTCCCAGGTGAAACATGACCCCCCAGTGGCAGGTCTTCCAGTTACATGGGCTTAGTAAGTATTTCTGAATATAGGAAGAGAATTTGGAGAGCCCACAGGGAAGGCTTTCTCAGTAAGGCAATCCAAAGACCTAGCGACACAGCTCTGGGCCACGGAAGCAAGGCTTGTCCACGCTGCGTCCACATACCTCTTTGCCTTTTGGATCCAGGGAACCTGGAGCAAGCTAATGAAGAACTCCGAGCTGTGATAAAGAAAATCTGGAAGAAGACAAGCATGAAGCTCCTCGACCAAGTTGTTCCCCCAGCTGGTGGTTAGTGTAACCTCCCCGCTAAGTAGTTCTTGGTCAAGGAGTTCATCTCAGTACAGCACCTGCAGACAGCCCAGAGAGGGATTGTGGAACGCTTTACCAGAGCAGAGAGCGCCAGCCCCACAGCTAACGGAGCCCTTTGGCTTCACATGAGAATATTTGGGTGATAGGAAGATAGCCAAGCCTCAGTGGGGAGGAGTCCAGACCCCGTGGGGCTAGAGCAGGGTTTTTGCTATTAGTAGAAAAAAATCAGTGGAAAAGAATATGACAGCTCTCACAAAATTAAAAGCTTGTACCTTTGGCCCCCAAAGAAATTCCTAAGTCTAGCTTACAGTGTAAAATGTCTTGAGAAAAATGGATAGATCTTAGGAAAGAATACTTCTACAATAAGTTTAAGAAGACTGAAATTAGCAGTGTAGTTACCGAGACTGTCCTTTAATGAGAATCTAGAGGTAGAACTAACAAGCATGCTTATTTATTTCCTTTTGTTATTTATCACAAATTAACTGACTAAACATTTAACTTTTACATATATATAATATCTATATATATTATATATATAGTGTTTCTCTACTTTTGTTTAAGTACATGTGGATGTAGAAGTGAGATGGTTATTTTCCAACTGCTTTGTTTCAAGTTTTAAAAGTGCAGAATCTGATTACCCAGTGGCCCCCCGCTCCCCAGCAGTCTAGCTAACCCTGGCCTGGATGCATGATAAACATCTGGTATGTTTTATAACACATAGAACTTCAATAGGATGGTGTAGTTCAGATTCAGAAGCTGAATCCAGCACCCAGGAAGTGACTACCTGCAGTACCTGGGGACAGAGGGAGCCATGTATTAGCCACTTCTGCTGCTTAGTGCGATTGGCTTCCATTATTAGTGGAATTCAGGCCACCGAGAGCTGGCCCAGCCACTGGCTCAACTCTGGGAAAATAACTCAGAAAGAAATGACCAAAGCGGGGGTGGGGGTGGGGGGAAGTCGGGGGGGGGGGGGGAGCACCGGGTCCCACCTCAAGACCCCCAGCTGCCCAGATGCGATTCTGCCCTTTTAAAACTCCTCTTGGTTTCCTTTTTTTTTTTTTCCTTTCAGCTGTACATCCGAGTGGTCGCATGGCTTAGATGGCCCGCTTTTTAAACTGTTGTAACACCACGCTTGAGCTTTCTCGGCGGCCTCCATTCCTTTCAACTCTCAGAATATTCTGAAGCAATTCTGTTTTAGGGTGGTGGCATGGAATCAGAGTTATCTCTTGCCAACTGGATTCCCCTACATTGTTTCTTGAAATACAGATGCATGCTTCAGAATAGTAGGCTGTGCCTGTCTGTGTAAACCTTCCATACACTAGCCCGAGACACTCACCTCTCTCTTGGTCTGTCTCTTTGGGACCACCACCTTCATTGTGGCCCATCTAGTGCCCACAGGAAGAGCCCCCTCACACAAGGTACGCCTGAAGAAGGCCATCTGCATCACTATGACACTCCATTTCTTTTCATCTTACTAGAATTGGGCTTATGATCTAAACCCCCTTCCTTTGAAAAAACGGATCCGCATTTATCTCTACCAAACTTCTCATGAAGGATGAAAACATCCCCCATTTCTAGGGCCTGGCAGTTCTCTGTGTTTCTCTTACGTGGTTTGGGGTGTAGGGTGACAGGTGTCCATCTAGAGGCATCATGAAGTCTTGGGAAGAGGTAGAGTGCTCCAGAAGTTTCTGTCGTGTCTGTTCCTGTGTCCAGTGTGGCACCTGTTTATCTAGTTTACATTTCATAGAAGCACATTTGCCACCCAAGGAGACTGAGCAGCAGTGACCTCAGGCCTTAGTGGGGAGCTCTGGGCTGGGGTTCAGTGTCTGTATCCATCATTTGTCTCTTCCATTTCTTTTTCTCTTATCCCCCAGTAGACCAGCGGTTCCCAACCGTTCCTCATCATGGCACACTTAAGAAATGACACCACGATAAAGCCTTTGGGACAGACAGGCAGTGGTTCCAGGTGTTAGTGTCTCCCGCAGTATAATGTGGTTGGAGAGCAGCAGAATGAGTGGCCAGCCCGTGTCCTGAGGGTGCTCAGGTGACCTCACAGCTAGCGGAGGGAGCAGAGCCAGATGCTCGTCTGGGCAGCTTTGCTGCTGGGATGTGATAGGAGCTGTCACTGCTCATCATGAACTTGATGTTAAGGTGATGTCAGGAACCAGCTATGGAGGGCGTCCCGGGAGCGTCCTTTTCTCTCCTCTCTGCCGGGAGCTCACCACTCCTGTCGTGAGGCTGAGATGTCTCAGCCTGGAACCTTGCCTGGGTTCTCAGTGCGCTCTCGTCACCTCTGCCAGTCCTTGGACTTGCCTCTCTCTCTTTAGAAGCTGCTCTCCTTGGGAGAGCCTCCTGCCTTTGGGTCCTCATCCTTGGGCCATCTCTCTGGTTCCTTGGTCCCTTCTGTGTTCTTCCGAGCCCAGATGGACCCACCACGTGCATTGCTTCTCTCCGTTCCTTCCCTGTCCTGCCCAGGCATTGGCTTTTCTTGTTCTCTAGAGTCCTGCTCAGCCAGGACTCTCGGCACTGCTTGTTCTCAGTCACCCTTGAGTCCTGCCCTGCTGCTCCAGAGCTGAAGAGAGGTCAGCCAGCACTTCTTTTACTAGAAACATCCTGATGGAGAGTAAAATGAGCCTCTACGTTGAGTCGGGGAGTTCACCAGGGCTCATGGGACCTTGAGATATAAAAGACATCTGCGCTGTTGAAGGTGGCAGAGATTCTGGGCTCTGTGGGTATGCTGGCCCAGCAGCCACTGGCCCACTAGGAAAGAGCTAAGAAGGACCAGAGAGGCAGCTCAGAGAAGAGCAGGAGTTGGGTGTGGCCAGAGCCAGGCTCTCCTTAGAGGAGGGCTGGAGAAGAGAGGGAGGGTCCTGGGCTCAGGTCCTAGCTAGGGGACCTGGTGTAGTCATGTGTAACCCCTCCCTCTCTTAGAAGGGTAAGCAGAATTGTTAGGTAGAGGTAGTGAGACCCATGAGGAGCGTGAACTGGGCTTGGACACTGCCCCCCTCCCCGCACCCATACCCGGTCATGGTGCCTAGCTATAGCTGATGGGCAGAATACTCAGAAACTGGAGATGGGGCAGGGATGAGCTTTGCAGACCTGGATAGATTGGCTTGCTTTCCTTTGGATGGTGCCTCACTGGATAGGGTAGACGAACCGGTGGCCAGTCAGGGCCTAGGATTTCAGATGCAACACAGAGTCCCTAGTTGTCTTCAGCAACTTTTCTACCACACCAGGGCTTCCTTGGCTTGGGCTCAGGAGGAATATAACATTCCTCAAAGCCAGCCCACCCACTTAAAACAGGTAATTTTTGTGCATAACAAAAATAAACAAGGTAATGCTGTGCAGCTTCTGGCAGGAAGGGCTGGAGACGCTGTCCAAAGTGGCCCAGCCATCTCTGGATGGGAGCCGTAAATCAGCCACACCTCACAAGTGGCCACTAAATAAAACCCACCAAAGTTGGATTAGTGGATTCAGTGGGTCCCAGTGGCCCCAAGCTTCCTATGCTCTAGCATCCATTTCAGTAAGTGGAACTGTTGGTTTGGTTTGAAACAGTAGTGAGTGATGACTTGTAATTGTAGGACCCTTGACACTAGGGCAGCCCACACCAGGGTTCGAGCACTTTCTATATCTTCTCTTCCACATCCTCAATTCTTCTGAGAGGGAGCTCTGTTTTATAGGGGAGAATACAAGCTCACACGGGTTGGTCTTCTTACCCCCCATCCATATGACTCTTGCAAGGCCAGCTTGATCAGAAGCCCTAGTACCCACAGCTGTTCCTCTTCCCAGGCTTTGCAGATCCTGCCAGTTGGCCTACAACCCCCCAGCACAGCCCCACACAAGCTCGGCTGCTAATGTAGCCATGCCAGTTTCTGCCCAGAAGACATCAGCACCCTACAGATTTGGAGGCATCAACCTTGGGGGGCGGGGCACAGGACACACTGTCATGTCCACCGTGGTTTACCATGAGACAGTCAGAGCTTCTATTCTGCCTCATGCATCACCTTCAAAGTTGTCAGCGGAGTTCTGATTCCCAAGTGATACATGCTGGAGGTTGTTTCTGAACAGAGCAGAGATAGAGCCTGCTCGGGGCCGAGGTTAGCTGGGGCTGTCATTGCAATGCAGAAATCCAGCAGTTCTGAATTTCAAACCAAGAAACGGTCTCGGAGCTTATTGGCAAAGAACGGGGGAGCGTGTGAGATCTGGAGCTGCAGTCTCTGTTCCGACCTTCCTCTCCTTCCAAGCTCATCCGTCACCTTTCTAGGTCTCCATCCTGTGACATAGGGATTTGGATGCTTAATTGCATTTGATGCTTATGGTAATTACACATGCAAATCTCTATGCACAGGGTGGAAAATGTGGCCTGTGAGGCCTTTCTGTTTTGTAATGTTTATTTTAAGTAAATAACCAAGGTGGCGCTTCATATTGTTACTAATATGCTACTCTCTTAAACTCGTGATAAATATACATTACTTTCTGCAACTTTGAGGATCAGTTTATTTAACTGACTCTAACTTTGAGCCTTAACTGCTTTGCAAAGCTTTGCTTCTTGCTAGACCAAGCAACCCGTATTTATAGACTGAGACCCCAGTGCCTTTTGGGCACTGTCCCGCCCCGCCCCTGCCCCAGCCAGAAGTGAGGGTCTAGGCTCTTGGTCCAAATGTGCTGATTCGGGAGAGCTGTGTCTGGTCTCTCCGTTTAGATGATGAGGTAACCGTGGGGAAGTTCTATGCCACTTTCCTGATACAGGACTACTTTAGGAAATTCAAGAAACGGAAAGAACAAGGACTGGTGGGCAAGTACCCCGCGAAGAACACCACAATTGCCCTACAGGTGAATTGTCCTCTTGTTCTGTTCTCTCTTCTCACTAACAATGTCACCAGCTTTAATTTGAAATACTAGAGAGCTGACTATTCATGGTTGAGCAGTGCCACAAGGATTTTGTTTAAACTGAGATACTGCACACTCCCCCCTCACTGTGGATTAGCCATTTCTGAGCCACAAGGTAAGTCCTCTCCCCTCTTCCTGTCTTCTTCGTTGAACCTGGCACCGGCCACCATCTGGTCTGTGTGCAAGGCCCCCAGGACAGCCGTGATGGGAAAGGAGTGAATGCTCACCTCCTAGCCTAGCCACCTGGGTCTTCTCCGAAGGCAGCATCCTCTAGGCGGGCCCCTTCTCCCATAGCCCTGAGCTCAGGGTCTGGCTGCCCAGCGTACAGCTTTCCATCTGAACGCAAGTGCTTTGTTTTGTTTCTGTTTGTTTCTTACCCCACGGCTTGTTGGTTTTTTGGTCCATTTCAATAACATCCATCACTCCCTAGTGTGTACTGTGTGTGTGTGTGTGTGTGTGTGTGTGTGTGTGTGTGTGTGTGTGTGTGTGGCGTGTCTGTCTCTGTGGGCCGTCTCCTCCCGATGGCCGTGAGGTTTGCTGTGCAAATGCTACACACACAGGCCAACCTCTGGCCCATCTCCCCTTTTCCAGGACCTGCCCCTTCACACACATGCACGCACTTACACTGCTCTTATCCCTGCCAGGTCCCTAGAGTGTGGGTGTGGCATTTAGGAATCTCTGGTCCAATCAGGGTTCAGGCATCCCAAGGCAATAGAATCCTAAAGCTGTTCTGAGCTCTGGGTGGGAAGCAGGCATGACTATGCTAGAACTTGCAGGCAGGGGAGCTAGAGAAGGCAGTTTAGGGGCTGGTGGTGTGTCAAGAGGGCTGGGGACAGATGCTAAGAGCAGAGAAGAGGGAAGTATGGAGGTTGGCAGGCTGTCTTGAAATCTTGCTAACCATGCTTACCTGGAGTGCCTTCAGACCATCATAAATAAAGACATTTCCCTTGCTTTTTAAAAAGTTTACACGAGCATTCCTCTTATGTCCCTGTTCTCATGGTTCTTAAATGTGGCCTTGTGGGTGTTGATAAGGAACAACATGAAACAGCCCTGCACTTGGTTCCAGGAGCGAATACCCAGCATTGTTGTGTGTTCAAAGGGATAACTGTGGAATACCCAGCATTGTTGTGTGTTCAAAGGGATAACCGTGGAGGCTAAGGCCTGACTGTGCTCTTGCTGTGAGGAAGAGTGTGAATAAAGGTGATGTGAATGAGGAATGTGGGGTGTGTTTGTATGTCACAGGTTAGTAGATGACCTTGCAGATGGTGACCAGCTGCCTCCTGGTGAGATCCATGGGGCAGGTGGTCACCCACACCTGTTCAAGTCAGCCTGTGTTCTTTCGTTCCCTGATCATGTGACCTTTTGGTAGCTCAGTGAGTTACAGGCTCAGCCATCTGGCCTGCTGCCATCTGGGGTCATAGGCTTCGACTTAAGCTCACTCCCCTCCTGCTGATCTGGTTTTCAGAAGTGACAGCTGTGACTGACTCCAAGATTACAGTTCACAAGTAACCTCGCAGGACAAAAGCTAAAACTCTGAGTTTGCAGATTTGAGTTTATATATTCCTGGTGGCAGCATGACTAGGTTGGCCACCAACAGAGAGCATTAGCACATGCTGAAGGTCATCCCCTCACATGACCTTCTGCCCCATAGGAGAGGCTGCTGGCTGGATTTCTGAGTTTGGTGGGTACCCTTTGCCTACCCAGAATGTCTTGCTGCTCTAGAAGTCTAGTTGGCGGGATCAAAACTTGGCATTCTAGACCACTCTAGAATTGATCTCTCTGCTGCAGTCAGTTATCTTGGAGTTATGAGGCTCTTCAGGTTCCAGTGGAGGGTATATATGTAAACACTTGGATGTGTGTTGGGGGAGGCATGGGGGCAGGTAAGACCTTTTCTGAAGCCCTAAGGCTTGCTCTGGTGGCTGGATGCATGTTTTGGTATTCTGAAATAGCATAATCAACACATGGCTTAAATAGTCACATTTTGCATATGGAGTTTACTGAGCCTTGAGCTGAAGGTTCAGATGATATTAACAGTATGACATAAAGGTTCTGGGTGAGAAACAACCACATTATGTTAAAATAATGTTGAGGGTTTTCTCCCGTTTAAGACTTTTCGTTTTTTATTATTTAAAGAAAGAGTTTCGTTTCATTGGTAGAAGTCAAATATTTCTAGTAAGATGATACAAATATGTTTTCCCATGGTTCTATTGAGAATTGAGACTAGGGCTGTAATTTGTATTAAGCACACAGCATAGAAAATTAAGTTGTGTTCATAATCTTGACAGTTAAATTCTGAAAAGGCATTTGATTCTGAAACAAGCATTAAAAATAGAAAATGTTTGTCTCCTTGATGGATAATTCTAATTACATTTTTGGCTTCCTCTGCTATAGAAATGGCTTTAAATGTGATTTGTTATTCTACATTTAATTAGTGCATAAGGAGGCCTCCTTTTTTGCATTATGAAATATCATGGGTGATGTAGCAGTCAGGGAACTGGGATTGGTCGTGGGAGGAAGACACACCCTTGAGACAGCTGCTGAGGGAGGACTTGGCTGCTTGAGAAGGGAGCAACATGATTCTGGCAGCCGGATGCTGTTGGGCGTGGCTCCCGAGCTGGTTGTAGTGGGAAGTGGAGTGTGGCATTATTGTGTGAACAGCCAAGCTTGTGCGTGCTGGCCTGCAGAGTGAGGTCTGTCTGAAGAGCTCTCAGAACTGGCACCCAAGCTCTGCACCCCCATTCCATGTCATGGCTCTCAGAGGCACACAGACGCCCTGTGGTTTGAACCCTGTGGACTCAGCCTGATCTCCATGTGTTCAGACCAACTGGAGTGTTAACCTTCCCTGTGGTGGGTGATGATGACTGAAGGTGTCCCTGCCTCGGCATAGGAAGGAGCTGGGCACCTGTGTCCTCTGGCCTCTGTGGTCTGAATGAGTGTGCACTTTTTCATCCGTCCACTCCATTCCTTCATCCCATCATTAAAACTAAACTTCTCTCTAGCCCTTCTATGATGGGAGCCAGAGAGAAGCTGCATCCAGCCTTTTGGTTTTCTCTCACTCATCTGACATTTACATATTCCCATTCATTTGACTCAGCATTTGCTCTTCATCCATGTTGCTACATCCGAGTGGCCTGCAAGTTTCCACAAGGAACAAAGAGATAAAGGAACATAGCCATGCAGCCACAGAAATTCTCAGTCCCCTTTCCCGCATGTAGTAACGCAACAAGAAGGTCCATGGAACCTCCAGATGCCTCTGGGATGCCACAGGCTCCGATGAGTCTAGTTGTCTCTCTGACAACAAAAGATCCCAAAGTGGGAAAAGTTCTGTTCATTTCTCTTTAACATTCCAGTCTTTTGTTTGCTCTCATGGAGTCTGAGGACACTGTCCTCCATGCTCTTCAGATGAGAAGCCACCCAAAGGAATCATAGGGAATCCCAGGCAGCTAGTCCTCTATCTGTTTAGAAGTTGGATTTAAGGAGCCCATTGGGTATGACGCTGCAGGATTAGGTGTTTAGGTTGAGTGGCTTTAACATCTGTGCCTTGGCCACAGACGGGTGGCTGGGAGATGTGGGTGGTGTGAAAGTAGTCATTTGTTTCAGTCTTCAGTATCCCTCACTGTGGCCTTCTCAGGCATAGTGCGCAAAGACAGGAAAGGGTCTTGTCACCTCCATCTGGAAGGCAGTGAGATTCTTTTTTTGAGAAGTATGACTCTACTCAAAGCCATAACACTGCTCTTATATATATAAATAATATATATGTTTTCCTTTTTTAATGTAAGAGGAGAACAGATGCTAACAGATGAGATTTCACTGGCTGATTCGTTTGTTTCAGATGCTTGAACGGATGCTTTAGAGTTCTCGGCCTGAGCTACTGCACCAAGCTGGTTAGTCCGAAGGCGCTTGTGGCTAAGGCCTTGAAAGGGCAAACTCACACTCGGGCTTATTTCTACTGACGCAGCATTTCAGGGGAAATGCAGGCAAGAGCAATCCCAAAGCCCCGGAGAGACCCCTTCCGAGCAAGGCACTCCTCCGGAAGGCAGAAGCGGGCCTGTGGCTCACCTGTGGAGCCAAGGCTGCCCGTTGTGGACACTGCTCATGGTGGCTCCTTTTCATGAAAGGGAACGTATGAGTTACGGTTTTCCCTTCCAAGCCAGAGACTCAGTGAAAGGGACAGAGTGAGAGAGGAGAGAGAGAGAGAGAGCAAAGGAGAAGGGCAGCTGCCCCGCAGAGAAATGAAATGAACACAACTTGCTGATGCTGGCCAGTAAAAAATAAATAAATACAATTAAATTATATATATATGTATGTGTACATATATATATATATATATTAAAAAGGATTAAGCAGACCTGCCTAAGGTGGGCAGCTGACTCCGTCCCAAAGTCCTGCAGCACTAGTTTGCCCGAACTCCCAAAGACTGGCAGGCTGATTGGCACTGAGCAGACAGAGTTCCCTTTCTATGCCAGTATGCCATGACCTCCTGACTGGGTGCCCGCCCTGCTTGCTGCAGTGACCCAGTCCAGAATGCACTAATAAGTGGAAGGCCAGGAAGCTCAGACACACCCATTGAAACTAACACATACACCCGCATGCCAAAACCAACCAGGCAAACCTCAGGTTCCATCTTACTGTGTCTGCGGGAAATGCCACCACACCCAAACCTCATCTAACATTGTCTGTCTTTAACTCACGCTCAGAGCCAGTCTGGGATGCCTCTTTGGAAGCAGTATGATCTAGTTTCAAGGACACTGGGAGTCAGGGAACCTGGGTTCTAGTCCCAGCTCCAGCATTCACTTGCTGCGTGACCTTGGGCAAGACACTTAACCTCTCTGTGCCTCAGTTTCCCCATCTGTAAAATGGGGGTACTAATGTCGACCTACCTCACAGGGCTGTTGTGAGGAATAGCTAAGTGATTGTAAAGCTCCTTGGACGTATAATTGCTT